ACGATTATCTTCAATCATTTGCTAAATAAAATAAGAAAATGCCATTGAAAAAGTATAAAGTACATAGCCTTTTAAGTTATTCTTCCCCCTCATATCTGTTTAATGACAGAAGAGTTACTTTTCAGATCCCAGAAAATCTGCAATGAATTCTGTTGCTAATTTAAAAATTTATTCAGGAATGCAAAATAAATGGTGACACTTTCCCATCCCCCAATGATGTCTTAAATCAATTGTATTACTAGATTTAAATTCTAATTCAGCAGATCTCTCTTCCATAATGATACCGACAGAATAGGTTAGGGGCCATGCTTGTGCACACTGTGCAGTGACTGAAACTTCCAGGTTCGGTACCCAACAGACTTTGGGTCATACTCGCTCCTTTTCCAGCTGCAGGTACCTCCTGGTGTCTGAATGAGCTGTCCGGCTCAGATTACAGTAGATCTAGAAACTCCTCAAAATTGACTATACTAATGACCTTAGGCCATGCAGATACTTGACCCGCCTGACGTGTCCCAGTTGATCAATGCCTAAGGCAGAGTTTAATCGCTGAAGCTCACTGCCAGGAGACATCCTGTATCTACGGTAACTTGTCAGTTAGTTGAGCCTGTCTGAGAAGCAACGTCCAGAGAAACAGGGATGAAGAAGGAGGGCATATGTTGCACGTGCTGGCTGCAGCAGCGTCGTTAAGTATGACATCTCATGTGGAAAATGACCCAAGAACCCTTTTTCTCTGTGGTCTCAAACCACTTAAGAGACTCTGTGGTTTTGTCTTATGCTCCGAAAGCTGTTTTGCTTCTAAAATGAATCATAGAGGGAGTATGGCTACATCCTAAGTTCTTCCCTAAGGTGATGACAGAATTGTACTGTAATTGGGTAATATTCCCAAAAATGTTTTCCTCTCCACCCATGGGCAGATTCTTCTCTAAGATCCTTTTCCATAAGCCTGATGTTAAAAAGCCAGACGTTTTTTTCCTACTATGAGGGTAAAAGCCATTCAGAAGTCCACCCACATTCTTATTTTTGCTTGACGTTAAGTAGGTCCGCAGCCTCCAAGAGAACCATGTCTAAATTGCTGTCAGATTGCATCACGCATTCTTGCAGCCTAGCAGGACTACAGGGTCATGTCAAAGCCTATTCTTTATAGTTCCAGGCTGCTACAGCAACAGGCCTCTGGTCTTTCTCCCTTAACAAGAAGATTAGCATGACAGCCACATGGAGTTCTTTACGTGCATTCACAAAACACTTGTTTAGGTTGGGCTTCAATTACAGATTAGAACAACAGTGGAGATTTGACCTCCCTGATGTTGAACTTCTTTTGGGTTTGGGAGTCCAAATCTCTCTCATGTACTTACTGTTTTGGGATGGTTTCTATAATCTTTTCCAATTTTTGGTTTTAGGAGAATTTTGAGAAAATACTTTTAATATTGGCACATAAGATACTGACTAGGGAAGGGAGGGCTTGCTGTTTTGTTTCTTCCCTCTCTACCCTCTGTCCCTCCTCACCTTTATTAAAGCATTCCTGTTGGAGTCTTTTTAATCCTTAATGAGCATAGGATAATTTTGACATTTTTTGGACCTGTTCGAGCCACAAACTTCTAAGAAGTCAAATGGCCAAAAAAGCATCCAAATACATGTGAGAAAAAGCATTCGTGTGTCACAGTGGTAGTTCTTCCCATCCTCTTTACCCCAGCCTGGAGGTACTCTCCGAACTAGAGAAGCTGAGTATTGTACTATCCTATGAATATACCTGCAGATTTCCAGGGACAAACTGCAATGTTTTCTATTGCAAGTTTAATTAAGATTTAGTATCTATTTCTGCTAGGTAGTTCAGTTTCTTTTTCCTGGTTGCAAATCTGGCTACTTGTCATGAAAACATAGGACCTGGAGAGTTTGGCACTGGAGAGCAACTGAGCTTTAGAAACAGCCAAGGCGCATCAGCAATTTGCTTCGGAGGCAGAGATGGTTTCCTTCTCCCCCTTCTTAGCTGCTTGGATGTCCAACCACCGCACATTCTGCAGAAGTTGTTTCTGGTTCTTGTTTTCCCACCTCCTCCTCTGTACTCTTCCTTTCTTAATCTGTCCCCACTAGGCTTCATAATATTGACCTCTTACTACCCAGATTTCACTGCTGAAAAAAACACAAAAGTTGCCTAGGCTCTTTACCTTGATCTGAAGGGTTTGTCCATCTCTGGGGAAAGGGGGCAAGCATTGCTTTGGTGGTGGAAAGCCTATGGCACACTAGTCAGTATATAAAGGCTCTATGAAGCGAAGGCTTGGAGAAAGGGTTTTAGTGAGATTTTGTGCCATCTGCCTCATGACGAGAACAGCTGATGTTTACTTTCACAGCACTCAGGTCAGTCATACAAGGGATCCAAAAGCCTGTTCATTAGGATCAATATTTTTATATTTTGATGTACTAATTGATAGTTTTGCATAAAAGTACTCATGGTCTTTGTTCAGGGAGTACAGTGAGAGAAATTATGGGCATACTTTAAAATAAAACATAAAAAAGGACGTGACTGAATGTCCAGAGATCATTATTTTCTAAATACCTGAAGATAATAGGATATTGCAAACCCGATGATCTTCAGTGCCATGTGTACCACAGTGTCAAAATACAGTGTAGCTGATGAGTGACAGCCTGCAAAAGATCAGAGTTAACATGATAGATTAGAAGACTGGGAAGTTGTATGTAAAAACACATATTCCATAGGGGGTTTGGGGGTGATTTTTGGTTTGTTTGTTTTTTCTTTTGTCTTTATCTCTGCTGTTATCTGAGTGGAACTGTTGTAGTTGTTATAGTCATATGATAATGTATTTACCTGAGTATTTACCAGTGGCCGTTAGCTAACTGCACTCTAAGGACATAAGGAGGTGCAATTTTTATTCTTGTTAGTTTGGGGGCTTTTTTGTTTTGTCTTTTAAACAAGTGAAGATGAAGGAGAACCGTCATTGGCCTTCAGCATCTCTAGCAATGTGTATAGACCTCCTCGTAGGCTAACCACTGGAGGGTGAGGTAGTCGTCCAGGGATAAAGCATTCAAGTGTATCTGGTTACAGGCAGTGGAACCTGGGGCTGTATGTTACGTTCAACCAATCTATTATATTTAAGAGTTGCAGGTGCCTATATGACATTGTCATAATACTTTCCTACATTTACCTTTATCCTAAGGAAATTGACAGCAGAGCCAGTGCGGTACGTTCTCCTTACTTTAAATGACAATTCAAGGTCCATCTTGTGATGCTTCAGTTCAGTTTTGTTAAGGATGGATTGAGGCAAAAAATATCTCAGAAATAAAATAAATCATTAAGTAAATTGATACCAGTTTAGAACATGGCTACTCACAGTGGTGCTGCGTCCTGAAACATCATGTTGCTCTGGTTTTCATAACGGCCAAGCTATTTAGAATGATCCTGCAGCCAATTTGCTGCTTACATGTTTGTTTTGGAAGCATATTGGCCACTTCCACTTCTTGGCAAATGGTTTGGAAGAAGCCTGCTAAACTGAAACAGGTGGTGGTTCTGATTTTCTCCACCTCTGTTAAAACCATTTTTTATATAAGAAGTCATAAAAGAGATAAGACTGGGATAAGCACCTCCCAAAGACCCCAGTCAGCTGTGTGGACCCCAGAGCCCAGTGGTTTCCTTAGGTTTGTCTGACTTAAAATAAGCAGCTTCAATGGAAATGAAAGTGTAGGATGGCAGAAAGAGCAGTGCGGGCCAGCTGTCATATGGGCAGACTAGAGCAATGAGTCTGGCCCTGGGATCCAGTGGACTCCCTTGGCTAGGAGTCAAATGTACCATGAGTCTTGTGCTTCACCACCAAGGACTGAACAGAGGGGCTGGAGCTCCGCCGGCAGCAGCAGTCATTCCTGGCCTCAGAGGGAGTCCTCTCTTGGCTAGGCTGGTGAGAAATGAGCTAAACTGTGTCAGCCAGAAGCTGGTCCTTGCAGGTTTTGCATCAGCAAAGTTAAGCTCCTTTGCTCGTACTAATGAAGAGTAAGATGTACATTTTGAGGGCTCAGAACCACAAGCAAGAGTCATTGTATGAATGTTCACTGAGGAAAATCTGAAGTTTCTTGCACTTTTAGATGAACACGCTGATTTGATTTTCCTATATAAAAGTAAAAATTAAGTTTTGTTGAATCACAAGTTGAAGACAAGCTTTCCATAAGGAAAGCATAGAGCAAATGGCTACTTTGGCTGTCATTTTGTTAGCTGTTGGCTGTTGGCCACTGGTGGCTGTGCAGCCAGGAGAAAGTCCCTTCCTCTAGGGCTCACTGAGGGGAAGAACAGTAATACAGCAGGTGCCCTGATTGCTGCTTGCTAATTGCAAAAGACTGGGTACAAGTAATTAATATGAATGTTGGATGGGTGCCTCTAATATACAATTGCCTTTTTCCTGTCTTTCTTGACATTAGAGATGATAAAATATTAATGTATACAGCAGAGTGTTCAGAAAACTTCCAAGGAAGCATAATATTGAAGAGAGGAATTTCACATGAAGGGGGGGAACTTTTACATAATCTAACTCATATGCTCTCCTTTTCTTCTTATGGATGTTTGGGGACTACTTTTGTCTTATTTTTTGAAATGTATGTGTGGTTTAGTTCGAGCAAAGTATGGCTTTGAAGCCTCAGAAAACTATTTTAAAGACAGCTGGTGTTTTAAGTTGAATTTTTAATGACTAGGTAGTTTGTAGAAGGAATGCAGCTATGCAGCTTAGGAAAGAAAAAGGGGAGGAGGAAAGAGAGGGGAGGAGGGCCAGTAGAAGACCTATGCATTAGTTATGTTCTTTCTTTATCTTTATTAATGCTGTCAAATTCCCAGGAATAGTTATTAGCATTTCTACCCAAGTTGAATTAAGGTGAAATGTTTTGGGTTTTTTTGTTTTTTTCTGCCAATTAGAAGCTCTCAGCCCACTGTGCTGGTGAATTGGGTGTGTATTCCACAGGAGAAGAAATCAATGAATTCCTATCAAGCACCATCTCTTCTTGCAAAGCTTTTATTTCCTTGACCCAGGGTAGAAGATGGCACGTGTTGTGGACATCTGTGGTGGTGAAGTGGTGGGAGAACTGTGCCCCTAAAAAAATCTGGAGATGTTCAGCAGTGGCAAGGCACTATTCTTAAAAACAGCCATAAAAAAACTAAGCCTTGCACTATCTGAACAGTCCTGCCAGGGAACACCTTTATTCTGTAGCTTACTTTTAAATGTAGAGCTGATGTCCAGAAGGTTCAGTCAGGCCTTTCAGCAAAGCTCTGAGTAACCCCTACCCAGCATTACCCTCAGCAGTAGGTGGTGTGCCTCGCTGAAACCTGGCTTCTGGCTCCCGCCTGTTTCAGGGGAAGAGGACCATCGTTTGCTGCTCTTCTAGAGCTGGAGGAAATTACAGTACCTTTCTGCCAACTTCAAGTTGGAGCGGATGGGGGAGAGCTGCGATTCCAGCTGTTCATTATCTGTTTGCTCTCAGAGAGAGCTGATGCAGAGCCGTGAGGAGATGTAGTCTCTCATTTTTATTATGATATTACAGTCCAAATCATTTCCAGACTCCAGAGTGTATGAAACAAGATGATGTGAAAACCATAAGGTTGCTAGTTTTGAATGTTTTCTCTGCTCCTCTGGATAAATGGAGCAGAAAAGTCTACCAACTTCTCTTGGAGATTTCAAAGGCATTATTATATTCTATAGTTATTATGTTGTAGTAGCTTTAACAGTCTACAATAAAACTGAGCCCTGTTCTGCTGAGCGCTGTACATGTGCAGAATAAAAGATGATCCTTGGTGTCGAGAACTGGGTCTGAGGTCCACATCATACAAACAGTCCTGTGAAAAAGTTTATGCACAGATTCTCATTCAGTCAAGTCTTTTTTTAGCAAAGAGATTTTTAAATACCAAAACAACATAAAGTCAACATCACTTTTATAAAGCAAACCAATACTATTTTCCTTTCTCCCCAGAGGCAAATCAAAAGCTGTAATTAATCTGGGCAAAAAATGGAAAGGGAGAACTACGACTGCACTTACTCGTTAGTTTTTTGGCAACCTGGATCCTAAGCTGGTTTTTCATTTCCTTGTGTTTTTCTTCCCCTCCAAGCAATCAGCTTGGTGTATTCTTGGGCTACCAGAGTATTTCGTCCTGGCGCCATATCCCTGTTCTTCCATACCTTCCTCCCTAATCACTAAGTATGTGGTCACCGGTGGTTAACCGTTAGTCAGAAAGCGAATTGGGGTTGAGAGAAAAGGCAAAGATGTTTGATCGCGCCCCAAAGGAGTGAGAGTGCCCCGGCACAGCTCCTGACGGCACATCACTCGCTCTGTCCGGAGGCAGGGAGCACACCGGTACCCTGTTGTTTGCAGCTTCAGGAGCTCTGGTGGATCAGGCAGTTGAAGGGGCAGGTCTTTTTGCAAAGGTACTTTGTGGCAAAAACAGACTTGGGGTGTCTTTTATCTCATTAGTGGTAGGTACATCACACGCTTCATTTTCTCAGGCTTTCAGCTAGGATGTAGCTAATAAAGTATTTTCTCTTATTTGCAGCCTACTTGAACATACCGGGGAGTTCATTTTGTTCTACTTTTTCCCCGGAACTGCATGGCAGAACTCGTTTTCTGTCTTTCTTCTGTTGGCTCCGATTCTGCTGCATTCTGATTATTGCTGCAGTTCTCTCCCCTTTCTACTGCCTTGCAAAACATCCAGCCCATCACCGGAAGACTGTCTTGTTGGGTTCTTCTTCTGGGATCTGGCTCTATTTCCAGATGGAGAGAAAACAAAAAGAGAAGACTTTAATAATCAGAAAACTTCGGGACGGCTTATCAGTGGCAGGAAAGGTTCTGGATGCGAGAAGATTGCCGGCTGTGCTTGCGGTTTTGGCAGTCGTTCTCAGTGTTGTCTACTTCTCACTCTTCCCTGTAACGCTGGCCCTTCGTCGTTTCTCTCCCGTGCGTTCGTTGCTAAGGGGCTGTGTGTATTTATGGGTGTACGAAGACATTTCCCTGGAGCTTCCTGAGGCACACCCACAGCAACGCGACCTCACAAAGTACCAGGAGTTCTCCACTGATCCTGCTTTGCTGAACTGAAAGCAAGTAGATTTGGAAACATGGTTGAACGTTTGCAAATGCTGTGTTTATGTTTTCAGTAATGTCCGGGTGGGGCCTTGTTCCCCCCCCCCCCCCCCAGAGAAAAAGAAGAAGAGAATAGCACGAGGAAAAGTACTCCTTCATGTTTGCAGGTGCTTTCTGTTCCTTTGCCTCATTCTTGAGTATGTTGAAAATATGAGCTGCTGTTTAAAACTGAATGAATTTTCAATTGCTTCCTGCCAATTCAATAGGAGGAGGAAAGCAGCAGCCGGCCCCAGTAGCCGGGAGGGAAGAGGGAAGTGGAAGGGGCTGGTTCTGCGGGAACGACTTCCTCCTCGGTGTCCGGGGTCCGCGGGAAGCGTGGCTTCTCCTGCTGGGAGAAAGCCCCAGAGCCTCTCCTCCAAACGGGAAGCGCTTCCTCCGCGGAGGCCAGGCAGCATTGACGGCTCGGCGTGGTCTTCTCTTCTTGCTCCTCGACATTTCCCACTTACCCATGGCATTTTCCTCTCACCTGTCTTTCATTGCAATGGCTTTGCAGGTGTAAACAACCTTGCGTTGTTATTGCGTTTCAGGAGCTGATAAAGAATCAGGTTTTGTAATTGCTGCTATGAATTATCTCACTGTCGTTAGAGTAGGAAAAAATGAAAGAATTGGAGTCTGTGACTCAACGTTGAATGTTTTTGAGGTTATATGTTTTCCTGCTAACGTGGGGAGTATGAATATTCTTTTTCATAATGCAAATGTAAAATACTGAAAGTGATGTGAAGTTCAGCCTCTCTGCATGAGAAAATATGTGAAACAATTCCTACTGAGAGGCTTCCTGATGCAGGGAAACGCTTGCCTTATTACCATTATTTTATATATGTGTGTGTATATATATACATATAAAATAATTTGATTTCCATTTTTCCCTCCTGCACTGCAATATCGTTTCCCGTTCGAAGACAGAGCGGGTCTCGCGTTACCTTTTTTCTTTCCTTTCTGTAGCAGCGAGCGTATCTGGCTTACGCAGGTGGCTCTCTCTCTTTTGCAGTGCCGGGGAAGCCCCAGCGACGTGCGAGGTGGGCGCCGGC